GCAGGTCAGGCTAGTCCCACAAGCCACCCCTCAATTACTCCTGTGCATCAAAGGGTAACTGTGTGGTTGATGGGCACATCAGATGACCATGCTATGACAGGTAGCCAGTGATGACTATTTCTGCTTTCTGTGGCTGACTGCTGGAATATGAGCTAAAAGCAGCGTCACTGCAAAGAGTCCTGTCTGTCATCCCTGAAAATTAAGCAGTTTAAAAAGGTAAAGCCATTTGGCTATTTGTTTGAAGAAAGGCAGCCAAGTTAAAAGAGTTAATAGAGGTGATTCTGGACAGCTTCCAGCAGCTGAGCTATTAATAAAAACAATGGAAAAATGCCAAACCTCTTCCGTCTTCTTTAGCAATTAGTATACATTCCTTTAAACTTTTAAGCTGCAAACTCCAGAGCTACCTGAGCAGAAGGACACTTCTACTTGAGGTCCCTATTCAAGGCTGTCTCCAGTGTGTCACTCATAAACATTCTGGTTTTCTCTTGTTCCCTCTCTAAAAGAAAAGACTACTGAAGGATTGGATTTTTGTTTTCTTGATCTTTCTGTCCTTTTTCCCTCACCTCTTAGCTATATGCTACATGGATGAGTAAAACCCACTTTGGCTGTGCTGATGCTTTAAGGACTTCAAAGTGGGAAGCTTAACATGCTTAAAGTGGAGTCAACCTTTGATGATAAACATGCGGGCAGAGCAAGTCTAGAGAAGCAGGACGCAGATAGTCACTTGTTGTTAGGCATTCTCACTTGACTGAATCTGTGAATGAAAGCACATGGTCAGACTCAGAACTATTTTTTCTCTTGTTGTTTTTCTGCTGAGATAGCCCAGAGCAGTATACTGCAAGGATGTGTTAGACATCGAGCAATTCTCCACAGTGAAAGGAGTTAACCTGGACCAAACAGATGATGATTTCTATTCCAAGTTTTCCACAGGATCAGTGTCTATTCCATGGCAAAATGAGGTAAGGATGTATCATAGTAAAATTACTCCAATAAAATCCCTAACACAGATGGTTTAAGAGGAGGTGTATATTTCCAGTAATACATAGCTATTGGATAACTTGCCAGACTCTAATGCTTTCATAAGTTACAAATGGCCTCTTTCAAGATCTATAATGTACCACAGATGTCAGGTTCAGGTGACTGCATCTGTTGGCTCTGCGTATTTATGTAAATTGGCAAGGATCCTACTGTACTTCCTTCTCCTGTATTTCTACAAAGGTGTTTCGACAGCAGCTCTGAGGAACTTCCGAGGGATGGCTGGAAGCCCTAATGGGAGGCTCCCCCGTTGGTGATCCTGATTTCACCCATTGTCTTGTACCTGCAGCGGGTCCCAGCTGCAGCAGTTGACTCTGGACCTTGAATGGCTCTAGGGTTTCCAGATCTGGGTCTTTGTTTCTGTTTGATGTCAAAACAGAGCCAACGGTGGATTTCATAATCTAACTGTGGATCAAACAGCAGATCCACTTGGGCAGGGGGTGGTAATAACTGGGATTTTGTGAGTCTGCCTGTCTTTACCCAATATTCTCCACTGTCCTAAAGAAAAGAACAGAAAGCTTTATGGGGCGACTTCTAAGATGACTGACGTGCAAACATGCAGAGCATACTCAGCCTCTCTTTTTCATACATCCCATTTACCTTCCA